GGTACGTGCCTCTGCCCGCCCCACCACGCCACTTATTGGTACATGTCTCTCCCCCCGCCCACGGATTGGTACATGCCTCCACCTGTCCCCCTCCCCCCCATGCCACGGATCGATACATGTCCCCCCGCACGGATCAGTACATGCCCCCCCCCCTCCTCCCCCCCGTGCCAGTCCATGTTCTCCCCCTCCACGGATCGGTAGGTGTTTCCCCTTCAGCGTAGGTGTGCCCCAGCCGCTCCCCACCCCCTCCTACAATGCCGCACTTCTCTCCGTGCCCTGCCCTGCCCTGCTCCCCAGGTGGCAGTGATGGGGGGTGAATTGGTGTTGCCTCGAGGCTCCCTGGTCCCAGGCCCGCCTTCCCTTGCAGCACAAGAGTGGCTCGGGGGTGGAGTCGTTCGTGCACCGGATCCCCAGTTCTGAGAGCCCTCCCACCCTCATCCGCACCAACAAGTTCACCACCGGCTTCCAGAGCATCGTCGACGCCTATGGGGTCGCCAGTTACCAGGAGGTGAACCCGGGTAAGGGACCTCCGGGGCCACCCCGCCCCACCACCCTCGGGTTGGATCAGAGCCAGCGCCCTCTACAGGGGAAAAGCCTCATGGCCCATTCCCCACCCTCTGAGCCATCCAGTCCCCCGCCCTGGGGCCAGATTGGAGTCAGCGCCCCCCAGAGGGAAAAGATCCTGTGTCTCATTCTCAACCCCCCTGAGCCAGCCAGTCCCCGCCCTGGGGCCAGATCAGAGCTCGTGCCCCCCAAGAGGGGAAAGACCCTGTGTCTGGGCTGTGGCAGGGTGGTCTGGGTCTGTGTGGGAGTGAGGGGCCCATGTGGGATGAGAGGGCTTCTCTCTGACATCTCCCTGCCCCCACAGCGCCCTACACCATCATCACCTTCCCCTTCCTGTTTGCTGTCATGTTCGGGGACGTGGGCCATGGGCTGCTGATGTTCCTTTTTGCCCTCTGGATGGTGCTGGCAGAGAACAGCCCCCGCATGAGGGAAGCGCGCAACGAGGTGAGCGAGGGCGGGGGAACTGCTAGGGTGGGGGGATGGGGGAGGGCTGGGCTGTTATGGAGCTGTGCCTCCATCTGTCTGTCTGTCCCCAGATCTGGCAGACGTTCTTTGAGGGGCGCTACCTGATTCTGCTCATGGGGGCCTTCTCCGTCTACACCGGCTTCATCTACAATGAGTGCTTCAGCAAGGCCACCGCCATCTTCCCCTCCGCCTGGAGTGTGGCCACCATGGTCCACCACTACAACTGGAGGTGGGCACTGCCCCCTCGCGGGACCCCCGCTTGATACCCTGCTCCCCCTGCGGGACCCCCACCTGGTACCCTGGTCCCACCCGCAGGATCCTGGCTTGCTTCCCTGCTGGTACCTTGCTCCCCCTGCGGGACCCCCACCTGGTACCCCGCTCCCCCCCGCGGGATCCCGGCCTGCTCCCCTGCCTGGTACCTTGCTCCCCCTGCAGAACCCCACCCACTACCACCCCATGGGCTCTCCACCTGGTACCCTGCCCCCATCTGCTATCCCCCACGGGGTCCCTCTTCTCACACACCAGCCTGCTCCCCTGCCCCTATACCTGTTACCCACCTGTGGGATCCCCCTCCCTTCTGTCCCATTCCTGGCTCCCCACCTTCACGTGCCCCCTCCCTGCCACCTGCTCTGCATGCTCCCCTGTGTCAGCACTGCCTCCCCACGTACTGCCCCGTGTGTGCCCCCCACTCTGCCCCGCCCCTCCCCCCAGCACTGACACCCCCCTGTCCCCACAGCTCCGACTACTTAGCCAGCCACGCCTTCCTCACCCTGGACCCCAACGTCACTGGAGTCTTCAAGGGGCCCTACCCCTTTGGGATCGACCCGGTGAGTAGGGAGGGATGGGGGGACGTGCTGGCCAACTGCATCTCCCCCCCCACACACACCTCCGCTCTGCTCCCCCCACTGGGAGCTGCGTGCCCACCCTGGCTCAGACGCCTCCTCTCACCTGGCTGCAGGTCTGGAGCCTGGCCAACAACCACCTGAACTTCCTGAACTCCTTCAAGATGAAGATGTCGGTGATTCTGGGCATCATCCACATGAGCTTCGGGGTGCTGCTCGGCGTCTTCAACCACCTGTGAGTCACCGCTGCCTGGGGGGCTGCCGATGCCCCCCCGCGCTGCCCACCTGTGCCCCCTCGCTTAGCCCGGCAGGAGGAGCGGGCTACAGAGCCTGGCGCATCCCCCACTCTGGCCCCACCCTTTCCTTGTGCCCGGGGATCTGCATCTGCGGGAAATCCTGGCCCTGGTGCGGGGAGGATATTGGCCAAGGATTGGCACCTGAGCCTGCCGACAGCCCCTCAGTGGGACGGAGACCCCTCGCCCTCAAGCCTTCCCTGCCCTGGGGCATGGCCCCAGCCCCTCGGGCAGTCAGTGGCTCTGCTCTGAGCTCTGAGCTGACCTGGCACCAGTGCCATGTGTCTCTCTGTGCAGGAGCAGCTCCCTGGGGCTGGCATCGGGGCCGGTGCCCAGTGCAGATGGGGCTTGTTCCAGCCCCTTGGGGCTTTGTGAGGTGTGAGCTGGCCGTGCTGCCAGGCTGGGGAGGAAGCCTGCTAGGGCTGCTCTGGGGCTCCTGTTGCCAGGAAGGGATGTGCCCCCAACTCTGCTGCGCTCCCTGACTCCCCTGCCCAGTCCCCCAGGGCACACCCTGAACCCCTGGCAGGATTGCTGCTCTCAGTTCCAGCCAGGGCAGCAGCGCAGGGCCCCAGGCCACCTTGCAAGGGTCGCTGCTCCCTCCATGGGGGCGGGCAGCCCGGCTATGCAGGGCCCGGGCCGACTCCCCTCTCGCTGGCACACAGGCACTTCAGGCAGCGGTACCAGGTGGCACTGGTCTTCCTACCCGAGGCGATCTTCCTGCTGGCGCTCTTCGGCTACCTCGTCTTCATGATCTTCTACAAGTGGCTCACGTTCAGTGCTGTCAACTCCCTGCTGGCACCCAGCATCCTCATCCACTTCATCGACATGTTCCTGTTCACCGAGAACCCCGACAACTACCCGCTGTATCCGGGACAGGTAACTCCGACAACATTTGCTGTGCCCGGGATTGGTAACCCGCACAGGTAACCCCGACAACCCCTCTACGGAACGGGTCACCCCGACAACCGCCCGCTGTGCCTGGGACGGGTAACCCCGACAACCGCCCGCTGTGCCTGGGACGGGTAACCCCGACAACCGCCCGCTGTGCCAGCCAAGTGACTCTGGACAAAGCACGAGAGCTACAGAGCTTTGCACAGAAACCGTCCTGCCGGAGGCCCCGGGTCCGATCTCCCCCGGACGGGCCCTGGGGCTGGGCAGCCCCTCCACAGCCAGGGCCCCCTGCCCATGCTGGTGTCGGCCCCCAGCACAGAGCAGCAGCCTCTGTAAAAGTCCCTCTGTTTGACCCACGTGATTCAATGGGGGAGTGCAGCTCGGTGCGGAGAGTGGGATGTGCTTGGGGCCGGGCGGAGCCGAGGGCCTGGATTGCTCTGTGCCAGCTTCTCTGCCAGAGGCATCACACTGGGTGCCGAGAATGGCTGCGCTAGTCCCCTAGGGGAGCCCCTGGAACAACATGGGGTTCACTGCCTGATGCGGCCAAATCCCCTGCCTGTCGCAGGGCCTATCCACCCCCCTCTGCCAGTGCAGCTCACACCAACAGGCCCCTCTGGCCTGGTATCCCCCATCCCCCGCACTAGCCTGCTAATCTCCCGCTTTGCACCATGCCCATGCTGGATCGGACCGATGGCCCCTCTAACCTGGTACCCCCCCCCATGTTGGCTCAGCCCGTGTCGGGGGTGGGGATGCTGCTCTCACGACCCTCCTTCCCACTGCAGGTGACGGTGCAGAACGTCCTGGTCGTCCTGGCTCTGGCCTCTGTGCCTGTCCTGCTCCTGGGCACGCCCGTGTACCTGTGGTGCCAGCACCGCCGCAGGGGGCACCCTCGTCTCGGGGTAAGGGGCTGGGCGGGGCCCTGGAGGCCCCTGGAGGGTTGGGGTGGCAGCAGGGTTGTGGGGCTCTGTGGGACTTCTCCTAAGGGAGCTGCAGGTGCCGTGGGGAGGGACGGGGGCTGTGATCTGTGGGGTGTGTCCCCCACCCCTCATGTCTGATGTGTGGCTCTGGGCTCTACACAGCTGGGCCCACCTGGGGACGCCGGGGAGCGCCAGCCACTGCTGAGCTCGCAGGAGCCGGGGAACTCGGTGAACGTGATGGAGGCCGACGTGGAGCGTGGCGGGCGTGGCCCTGAGCCTGAGGTGAGATCCCTGTGGCACTGTGGTGGCTGGGGAGAGGGACGGGTTTAGCGCCACTGGGTGCTGGGACAGTGTCCTGCCAGTCCCACTCAGCATGGGGGAGCCCCACAGCAGCTCTGGCCCCGGCCACGTTCCAATCTGTGGGCCGGAAATGTCCCTGCACTGAGTGGGGGCGGGGCCATTCAGAGGGGTGGGGCTTGACAAGCTGCTGCCTATTCCCCCAGCATGGCACAGAGTGGCCCCGGAGTGGAAGGATGGGGCCCTGCGGTGGGCAGGAGACCCTGAAGCTATGAGCGGCAGGAACGGGATTAGCCCCCCTGCCCATCCCAGTCTTCTCTCGCTCAGCAGTGCCCTCACCAGCGCTCTGGGTGGGCACAGGGGGCGGGAATGGGCGCTGCTGGGTGGCTGGGCTCCCATGTAGCCTGTGATCTGTGGGCTGTCCCCCTCCAGCACTGCGAGATCCGGCCCCAGCCGACAGCCAGCTGGGTGAGCTACAGATGGTCTGTGTCTGCCCAGGCCCACGGCCAGGGGCAGAGAGAGCTTATGGATAGGCCTGGGGTCAGCTCAGTGTGCCAAAGCTGGAGGAGAGTGGCTGGGCATGGCACCCCGCTCCCCCCTCCCGGTGCTGCCCTACGCCCCGCGGCCGGGCATGGCACCCCGCTCCCCCCTCCCGGTGCTGCCCTACGCCCCGCGGCCGGGCATGGCGCCCCGCTCCCCCCACCCGGTGCTGCCCTACGCCCCGCGGCCGGGCATGGCGTCCCGCTCCCCCTGCCCGGTGCTGCCCTATGCCCCGCGGCCGGGCATGGTGCCATAGTGGGTGCTGCCATTCACCCCGTCCCACTGCCTTGGTGTCTCCCGCAGTTTGAATTCTCTGAAGTCTTCATGCACCAGGCCATCCACACCATCGAGTACTGCCTGGGCTGCATCTCCAACACGGCCTCCTACCTGCGCCTGTGGGCGCTCAGCCTGGCCCACGCACGTGAGTCGGGAGTGGGGCGTGTGTGTGTGTCTCACAGCCTCCTACCTGCGCTGAGCCTGGTCCACACATGCTTTGTGGCCCCTCATGCAGACCCCTGGAGAGAAGGGGAGGAGGTTATGGGTGGATGTGGGGTGGGAGGGAGGCCTGCCTGTGAGGGGTAGGGCGGGGTGGGTGCGGGAAGGGAGGCGTGGGGGTGGGAGGGAGGCCTGTGAGGGGTGGGTGCAGGGGAGGGAGGTGTGGGGGCAGGGGAGGGAGCCTATGGGGGCAGGGCGGAGTGGGTGGCGAGGCGGGGTGGGAGGTGTGGGGGCAGGGGGGCATGCCGAGCTCTGACCCCCCCATTCCCGCTGCAGAGCTGTCGGAGGTGCTGTGGACCATGGTGATGCGGAACGGCTTCCTGCTGCACATCTACGCGGGTGGGGTGCTGCTGGTGCCCGTCTTTGCCTTCTTTGCCGTGCTGACGGTGGCCATCCTGCTGGTGATGGAGGGGCTGTCGGCTTTCCTGCACGCCCTGCGCCTGCACTGGTGAGCCCCCCCGCCCCGTACTCGCAGCGGGGGAGGGGGGAGCTGCTTTGGACTCTGGGGTGCGGGGGACGGGCGGGTCTGGGGTGGGGCAGCCCCTGGGATGGGGGAGGCCCTGGGTGAGTTTTGGGGGGTGATGTCTGCGCTGACCCCCCTCCTGTGTTGTTTGCAGGGTGGAATTCCAGAACAAGTTCTACGTGGGCGCCGGGTACAAGCTGAGCCCCTTTGCCTTCCCCCCCGACAGCTGGGAGTAGGGCCAGCTCGGCACCAGGTGCCCCCCGCCACCCTCACCTCAAGGGGATGGCGCCCCCTCCCGCTCTGTCCTGGGGCAGGGGGCTCCCTTTGGGTTTGCACCTTCTACCCTGGCTGCTGCCCCCCGCCCCTCTAAGCCTGGCGCTGTTTCCCTGCCCCTCCCCTCCCCTTTGGTCTGGTGCTGTCATCCACTGCCTGCCGGAGCCTGGTGCTCCCTCCTGGGCACAGATTACGTCTGTCCTGTCTTTTGTACGATTAAAGAGTGAAACTGTCCCGTCCCTGTCGGTGTGTAACAGGAACCCGCTGGGCCTCTGGTGGCGCTCACGGGGCCTGGCCAGCTGAGCTCCCGGTTCAGGAGCGTGAACCTGCCGTGCCCTCTGCCTGGGCAGCTCTCCCCGCAGGTCTCACTCGAGGGGCACCTTGCATAGCCCCCGCCGGAGTGGCGCTGCAGTTACCTTACACTGGCACCAGCTGGCGCTGTCTCCCCTTGCTAAACTGGGCCAGCACCCCTGGGTGTGGATCATGTGCCAGGCCAGCTGGGGCCAAGGCTCCGTGGGTTGCACCCTGGTCAGCACTGGCTGGGAGGGAGGGGGGTGCTGAAGGCAGCTCCTGCCTGGGCGGGAGGGGGGGCAGGATCTGACCAGCCATGTGCTCTGCGCCCTGCCCTGCCCTGCCCTGTGTCCTGGGCATGAGCTGTGGCTCGCTGTTCCCAGGGGCAGTGCTCAGGGCTCCCCCCACACCAAAGGCTCGTGCAGGGAAGTTTAATGGCCACAAGCTGGGGAGACTTGTGGGGCAGCTCGTGGCCCAAAGGGAGAGCCTCGTGGCCTGGGGGGCCGGCCCTGCAGCAGCGGAGAGGGAGGGAGCCATGCAGCCCTGCCCCCAGCAGCTGGCTACGATAGGGGGAGCCCAGCCTGGCCAGGGATACTGTGAGCCGGGCAGCCAGGGGGGCTTCTAGTGAGACTCAGGTTGGAGCCTGCCTCTGTCACGCTGCGGCTGGGGCTCGCCCTGGGGCAGGCGTCTGAGTACTTGGGAGGGGGGGTGAGCCAGAGTGGGTCCTATGCGCCCCCAAGCAGCTGGGGGACAACCCTGCTACCCATCACTGCTGCCCATAGTTGAGGGCAGGGGGGCTGGTGCCGTAGATATTGAATGGGTGGAGGCTGGCGGGCAGCGGGTAAGGTGCCACCCGTGGCTTGGCCCCGACATATACGCTGTGGTAGGAGAGGGGCTTGTACAGGGGGGCCCCCAGCTCTGTGGGGAGAGGGCGCCGCGGAGCCGAGCTGTCCTGGAAACTGCGGGCGCCCGCGAGTGGCACGAGTGGGGGGTGCTGGAGCTGGGCGGCCTCTCGCAGGAGGGTGGCGGGGAGCTGCCCCCGCACACGGCGCCGGCCTGGCAGCCCTGGGGAGAGAGCAGAGAACAAGGTTGGGTCACAGCCACAGCAGGGTTGCTGTGCCAAGGTCCCCAAGCCCTGCCCCTGCTAGTGCGAGAGCCCCACCTTCTCCTGTGGCTCCGCCCCTGCCAGTGTGAGAGCCACACCCCCTGCCTTAGCTCCACCCCCTGCCGCCTACCTCAGCCAGTGCTGGAGGCTGAGACCAAAAGCCCCAGCACCCGTCTGTGGCTCCCTGAGCCCTGCCCTGCTCACAGGGCCTGCCCATCTGCACGTGAAGAGACCCCGGGGCGGGGCTCCTCCAGCACCCACATCCCCTATGCACCCCCCCATGCCCCCAGCCCAGCAGCTCCAGCCCTGGGGTGTGCCCCGCCAGCTGTATGCAACAACCCTGCCCCTGCATGCTCTCCAGCTGGGCTGGGGGGGGGGGCACCCTGGTGTCAGAGCGAATAGCCCTGGGGGTGGGGGTTACCTTTCTCCTGCTTGTCCTTCACCTGGAAGGAGGGGCCCGTCCCTCGAGTGCGGGCCAAGGTGCCCAGCAGGGGTCCTGATGCCCCAGGCCTGCACATGAGAAGGGGGAAGGTGAGAAATGGAGAGGGGGCCCAGCTGGGGTGAGACATTTGGGGGGGGGGCAGGAGGATGGCCAGAGGTGCCCCTCCCCCACCAGAGCACAGCTCCCCTGGAAGACCCTCGCTGCAGACTATTTAATGAGCTAATTTGCACATGTGCAAACCATCCTGCACTGATTCCGGGGGTGGCTGGTGGGGGCTGGGCGGGAGTGGGCACTGGGGTACATAGCTGGGGGGGGAACTGCTGGGGAGGTGATAGTGGGCCCCTCCGCCTGGTGCCATCACTTGCCCCTCTTGACTGCTCTTTCCCTCTTCTCTTGGGATGGGACGGGGGGAGGGGCTGGGTGTGTGAGGGGCTGCCAAGTGGATGAGCCCTTGGGTGGGAGGGAGACCCCCCCCCAGTAGTTAGGACAGTGGGACCCTGTGTGGGGAGGGGAGTCACCAGTGCTCCCATCTCCCGCCGGGTGGGGAGGGTGCTGGAGGGGCAGTTACCAGTCGTCTGGCTCGCAGTCCCGGAACCCCTTGGCAAAGGGGTTACTGGCGATTTTCAGCTGTGTGATCTGCAGAGAGAGAGAGAAGGGTGAGGGAAGCAGCCCTCCAAAACCAGCCCCGGAGACCACCCCACCCCAGAGGGCTGGCAGCAGCTCGGGGACACCTGCCCAGATCAGCTGCTCCCTAGGCTCAGTGGGACAGGAATCCTGCGGAGAGACGCTGCATCCACTGCATGAAATCAGACCTGAGGCCACCACCCAGCAGGGGGCGCTCTGACCCCAGGGAGGGGGCAGAGCCTGCACCACCCAGCCCCACCCTCCCCAGCAGGGGGCGCTGTGACCCCAGGGAGGGGGCGGAGCCTGCACCACCCAGCCCCACCCTCCCCAGCAGGGGGTGCTGTGACCCCAGGGAGGGGGCGGAGCCTGCACTGTGTAGCCCTGCCCTACCCCGCAGGGGGCGCTGTGGCCTGAAGATGGTGGGGGGGAGGGACTCCTGTGACCAGGGATCACAGGACAGGGGACTATAATGTCCAGCCCTGGGGCCCAGGGAGGGCTGGCTCAGTGCCCTGTAGGCTGGGGCCGGTTTCTGGGCCTCACACACACCCGGTGGTTCTGGTAGGCCGTCACCGCCATGAACTGGGTCTCCACGAAGGTGAAGGATTTGAAGTTCTCGTGGGCGAAGCGCTCGCTGTCCCGGCGCGGGTCCACGTACACCACATGGAAGCGGGGCTGGTACCGGTGCATGGAGTTCAGGATGATCTGCGTGTGCCAGAGAAGAGCCATGCTTGAGATGGGCACCGGGACAGCCACTGCCCATGGCAACATATCCCGCCCCCTCCTTCACCCCACGGCATAGCTCTGCACACACACACACACACCCCCAGTCCAACAACCCACCTTGCCCCGACCCTCACGGCCCATGGCACCCTGTCCCACCCCCCATCCTCCACTCTGTAGGGCCGCGTCCCGTGCATGGTCTCTCAGCAGCCTCCTGCCCCTGCCAACGGTGCCATATCCCAGCCCCCCTGAGCCAGGCAGCCCCGGGGCTGGATTGGATCCGGCAGGGGCGCCCCTAGAGGGGAATGGCCCTGTGCCCATTCCCCACCCTGTGAGCCAACCAGTCCCCTGCCGTGGCCTTGGATCAGAGACAGCGCCCCTAGAGGGGAAAGGCCCCCTGCCCCATTCAACCAGCCATTGCTTAACCTTTTTCGGAAGGTGAGGGGGACCGTGTGAGTGCGGGGGGTGTTCCTGTTCTGCCAGATAATGCTGCAGCTGGGCGGTCTCTGGCCTTCAGGGACTGTCCCCTCCCCCCCGCCCCCCATCGGTGTGCCCGCTGCCCAGGTGTGGCACGGTGCCTCACGTGGCCGTTGTCGTCCAGCAGGTTGTTGGTGAGTTTGAGCTTGTCGAAGGAGACGATCTGCCTCATCCACTGGCCCCCCTTGGCGGGCGAGTCGGGGTGGAAGTGGACTCGGCCGGGCGCAGCCGGATCCGCTCTGCCAGCCACCAGCCACGAGGAGCTGTGGAAGGCATATCTGCAGGGAGAAGCCGGGCCTGAGCACTGGAGGCATCAGCTCTGGGGGTCCCCCCCCCCCGAGGTGGAGGCCTCATGCATTGACGAGGGCTGTCTGGGTCCCAGAGGTTCCTCCCGCCCCCTATAGAGGCCATGGGGGGGCCGGTTCCTGTTCTGGGCTCTAGGACATTTCCATAGGGGCCAGGATCCTGCTCGAGGGGGAGGGGGGAGACAGTGGTGAGTGGGGGCGTGCGACTGAGCAGTGCGGGGAGGCCCACACAGGCCATGGCTGGGGCAGCCAGAGTACAGGAGCCAGGTGGGGTTGGGCACAGGTGCCAGATCTATGGGCACCACGCCCAGCACAGGGCTGCCCCCACCCCCACAGGCTGCTCTGCTCAAGGATCTGGTGGGGGGGCTGGACAGGAGCTGTGTCCCCCCCACATGTATCCCCCCCACCTGTATCGCTTGTCGTCCAGGGGCACGAAGTCCATAAGCAGCACGTAGTCGGCCAGCGGGTCCAGCCCCGAGAGCTTCACCTGGAAGGTGGGGAACATCCTCCTGTGGGAGAGGAGAGGGGAGGGCATGGGGCGCTGGGGTCTCCCTATCGCACAGGACCTGGTGACATTGGTCACAGGGGGAGAGGCTGGGGTTTAGGTCACAGAGTGGGGGGCGCCGGGGTCCCTGGTCACACAGAGAGTTGGGGGTCAACCTGTCGCATGTGGGGGGCTAGGGCTGCCAGTCACAGGGGAGGGGCTGGGGGCATTGGTCACACGGGGCGCTGGGGTTGCCCTGTCTCAGCCCTCTTCCCCGCTCAAGGGGCCCAGCAGGGTGACACACGGGGGCTGGGGTAAAGGGGGCAGGTGCCCACGGACTGGGGCATGTAGCAGCCTGGACACGGTGGGCATGAGCATGAGTGTGAGGCAACATGAACCCACGCAGGAGCAGGAGAATGAGTGGGAGTGTGGGGGCTGAGGGCAGGGGCCAGAGGGGAGAGCCGGGGAGGAAGTAGGAGGCGGTGGGAGGGTAGTGGGGGGCAGATGCATTTGAAGCACTAAGTGGCAGGGGCTGCGCTGCTGGTGGGGGGTGGGCAGAGCTGCCCAGCAGGCCCCCCCACACCCCCCTCCTCCCGGGAACATCACACTGCAGCAGCAGCTCATGGTCCCTGTAATATCAGACTGGGACGGAGCAGCTGGAAGACCAGGCATGGGGGGTGGGCGGGCAGACTCCACCCCGACTGCCATCCTCACAGGCCCCTCTCAATAGGCCCAGCACCTCCGCAGCCCCAAGACACCCAACCCCATTGGCATCCACCATCTGC